TAGATAGATAGATAGATAGATAGATAGATAGATAGATAGCAGTAGCAATAGCAATAGCAATAGCAGTTAGACTTATATACCGCTTCATAGGGCTTTCAGCCCTCTCTAAGCGGTTTACAGAGTCAGCATATTGCCCCCAACAACAATCCGGGTCCTCATTTTACCCACCTCGGAAGGATGGAGGGCTGAGTCAACCTTGAGCCGGTGAGATTTGAACAGCCGAACTAGCAGTCAGCTGAAGTAGCCCGCAGTACTGCACTCTAACCACTGCGCCACCTCGGCTCTTTTTATATTTCCTATTATATTTCTATTTGTTGGTGATAATTGGAGGAGCACTAAGCCTGAACTGTTAATATACTGTAAATTGTTGTAAAATAGCCATCGTTTAAAAAATATGATATAATTTCAGCCACTGGATTTAAAAAAAGAAACAGTAGCTGTATAATTTAATGCATGGCAGGAATGTTTTTAATTGTAGTAAAAAAGAGTGAAAAAATAAAATTTCTTGTTATTTAAAAGTTGAGGTGAGAGCATGAGAAATATTTCTAATCCTTTTGGATTATCACCCAAGATTAAGCTGGACAGACAAGTTTTGGCAATGGATCCAAAGTTCTTCGGGCAAATTTGATAAGAGCCACAGTTGTAGTCTATAAATATATGTTGTCAGTGACCAAAGCAGAAAAACGAATATCTAGGATATTTTTTCTACAGAGGATGTTTTAAAGAACAGCTTGGGATTGTTCTCAAAAGCAGAATCAGTATATCTTATTGCAGTCATGGTGGCTTATTCAACAAACCATTTTAAAATCATGGCTTAGCATAGTAAGTGAACTGAAAAATTGCATCATTTCACACATATTTAATATCTTTTTATTTCAAGAGGTTTACTTAAGAGAGCTGAAATCAAACTCTACGTCAATTAAATATGATAAAGTGTTTATTATTGCAAACTTAGCACCTTAAGGACAAACATATTCCCATAAGGAACACAATTTGCAGACCTGAAACTTCTTCTTCAAATTTCTTAATCTCAGTTGCTTGGCATATGTGACTGATTGCCAGTTTGGTATAGTTACTCAGGTGCTAGCCTAAAAACTGGAAGACTGTGGATTCTAGTTCTCTTAGGTATGAAAGCTGGCTGGGTGACTTTTGGCTAATCATTTTTTCTCAGCCTAACCCATTTCAAGTTTTGCTTTCTTCCTCACAAACATGTAAGCGATAAAATGAACTCTGGTCCGCGGAATCTTGTGCAAAAGTAAAATAATAAAAGTTATTATTTTTTTCCGGAGAACCTATTTTTATTGTTTTTGCTAAATGCATGAACACCATTGTATATATATTTTTTTAATATAGCCAACGTTGTACTTGCAAGCAGGAAAGAGAATATCACCTACCTCAGAGTATGCCAGGGTGATATGCTCATATATTCCTTGGTGATGGTGAATAGCATCCTCCAAATCTTGAAGTTCTGAGGGAAGCTCGACTTCACCACAGGCTTTACACCATGAATCCACGTTACTCATGTACTAGGAGGAGGGGGGAAAAATCTTATTCACTACAAGCACTCCCACTAAGAACCAACACAAAAGTTATCGGAGCAAGCATGTTTGTTTAGAAAATGAGCTCTTAATTTCTAACTAAAAAGCAGACAGTTTTTCAGCTGCTAATATAATTTTGAGTTTATTTCCACTCCGGCTTCCCTAAAACATAAAAATAGTTAGGTTTCAAAAGAATTTACCAATTTATCATTTCACTATACTTTGCAAAACAAGAGACGGTTGTTAAAAAGAAAACAAACACTTTAGTAACATGAGAATTCTTTGTTAACTATGGAGTGGCTTGGAAGAGGAAACAAACACATATGGAAACATTAAAACGATCTGAAGCCAAACCTCAATTCACATGCAAAAGAATTTCCAAATGCATCCAAAAGAGTTCAGCTGCAATCTCTTGGCACCAGAAAATCAGATCAAATCCATTTGTTTCTATCATCTCCATCATCAATATTGTACACACTCAAGAGAGACATTGCATTAATATAATAACTTGCAATTCGTGGACTGTTTTTCTTGTTTGTGTGGAGAAAGTACACAATTAAGTAGCCAATCATACAATTATAATGAGGTTAATTCGTTTAATCCGAGCAGACTATATTCTAGTTTTATTTCTCCAGGAATAGCTTTTATACAGAAAAAAAAGCCAAATAAAAACAAATAATTTTTCTCTTATTTTAATACATATCCCGCACAATTCAGCGGCATTTTGAGGAAATGAACCCACCTTCCTGTTTTAAGGTGGATGAAGGGGAGATAAGTTTTGCTCAACAATTTCTGTACTATTTGTATGTGCCTCAGCGATACAATGATACTCAAAACGATAACATCTTTTAAATGGTGTTGACTCTTGGGGAAAGCAGAAAGTGTCTCCTTATCTTAATTGGCAGAATCTTTTATCAGTTTTTATTTATCAAAATCCAGGTTTTTAAGCCATTTGCTTGAAATGGTGTAGGGTTTCCTGCTTGAGCAAGGAGTTGGCCTAGAAGATCTCCAAGGTCCTTCCAACTCTGTTATTCTACTCAAAAATAAACTCACCTCAGTGACAAAGCCACAGGAAGCAAACACAACTGGTAAATCATTGACAGATGACATGAATGTACAGATGCAGTTGTACATATAGATGAAGTCATCTAGACCAGTATGTATTGTTTCAGGTAGGGTTCTTGTCCAATTGTAGGGGGATACTAGATATTAAATTTTCTATATACAAGCACATATTTAGCATGTGGAATTCTTCACATTTCACTAATCCCTTTGTAATAGGGCAAACTTAGCAATAGCAATAGCAGTTAGACTTATATATACCGCTTCATAGGGCTTTCAGCCCTCTCTAAGCGGTTTACAGNGAAATTGGAGAAAAAATAGTGTGTAATAAAAAATGATGTACATTTTATTATATTTTTAAATTATTTAGTTGAAATTGATTGCCACATGTTGTAGAAATCTACACTTTCACACCATGTAGAAATGTGGTGAATATGAATATTTTCTGTCAATTTTTTAATTGTTTTTTTTTAATAAAAGTACTACTAATAGTTCATTTTTAATCTTTTATTTAGGTTGCTTCTAGCTCCTTACAAAGCTCTTTCTGAACCAAAATATGATACATAAAACAAATACATACAAAATTTCAAGCTTTGTATGTGAACGTTTCTGCATTTGTATAGCATCTGACATTTATCAGCTGAAAAAGGGATGATGACTCAGAATGTTTAGCTGCCCAGGGAATCAAACAGCTTAGAATTCATTTTTGTGAAGAAGGGAATATTGTCAATTTGGCTAAGATTATAATCTCACTTGGAGGTTGGTTGAGGACTAGTAAGAAATCTAACAGAGAAGGAGGGCAAACCAAAGCATGCTAAAGGAGAGGTTCACTGTGGGAAATGTTCACAGAGCACCATAAAACAGCTTCATTTAGTCTACAGGGATTTCCAATGTCAATATCATTTAAATAATGTCTTCTTGTCTGTTTAGTTTTTTGCACAGACCTCTTTTCTTATTATGGTTCCATTCTATTCTGTTTTGTTCTGTCCTGCTTCTCTTACATGAGATTATCTTGTCTTTAAATCAGCAGTCTCCAAGCTTTCTGGCTCAGAGTGGTGGAGGCAATGTTGTTGGTGAGGGTGGTTTTCATGTATGTGTGCCGTTTTAACAAATGCACTTTTGCACATCCATGCACTTCTGCAGCTCAGTTCTGAATGTGCTGTGGCTCAGCACTAGGATGTGGCTTTGGAGTTGGGGACCCCAGCTGTAATTGACTTTAACAATGACACTACTATCCGTATCTCCGGATACGCTTCAAGGTGCTACTTGCCCCCCATAAAGCCCTCCATGGTAGTGGATCTGGGTACTTGAGAGACCGCCT